GCAAGACCTGCATTAAAAGCCTCCTGGAGTTCACACTCAGCTAGCAGTGTTTTTCATGAACTGGTAAATAGAGATGTATAGTAGAAGTCAGTGACACTTATGGAAGCTCAGATGTGAGCCTGAACTTGCCGTGAAGGAAAGTGACTTTGTACCTGCAGTGAAAGTCCCGTTTTTATGGAAGTTATCATTACTGGCACTTCCAGCCCAAGACTGACTGTTGTGTTATCTCTAATGAATGCAGCTTTGACTGAGCTAGCAGAGCTGAGGCAGAGCTCAGGCACAGCACTGCTGAGAATTCGTGAGGGTAAATAGAGCAGGAATATCTACTTCAGGACAATTTCCATGAGTGCACCAGCCCTTTGAGACTCCACGGGCAGGGACTGGGCCCAGGAGGAACACAGAGCCCAAGGCTGCTCCGGCAGCAGTCCCTGAGAAATCACATCAGGGTGATTAAGGAGCCAGTCCTGGGTCTGTGCCTGCAGACTCCAGACACATCAGTGTGGAGCTGTGCTCCTGCTCCAGGGAGAAATCTCCTTCCTTCACCTGAGCAAGAGGAAGGGCAGGACATACCTGATGGGAGCCTACAAGACACATGGAGAGAGACTGTTTCCAAGGGTCTGGAGGGTCAGGACAAGGCGGAATGGATTCAACTGACAGAGAGGAGGTTTAGATTGGATATTAGGAAGAAATTCTTCCCTGTGAGGGTGCTGAGGCACTGGCACAGGTTGCCCAGAGAAACTGTGGCTGCTCCATCCCTGGAAGTGTTCCAGGCCAGGTTGGATGGGGCTTGGAGCAACCTAGGCTAGTGGGAGGTGTCCCTGCCCTTGGCAGGGGGTTGGAATGGGATGATCTTTAAGGTCCATTCCAACCCAAACCATTCAATGGTTCTGTGATCTCAGGAACTGCTCTGTTTGCCTAATATTCAAGAACTTGGGGCACTGATGGACATGTGTGTATATATACAGTGGCTAAAATCCCCATCAGTCATCAACAAGAACATAAGCCTCTTCTGCAGAGTTAATAATTAATTGATCTAATAACAAATCCCATTTAAAAATAACCCTGTGCACTTAATATTTACTTCCTGAAGAAGAGTAGTGGTCCCAGGACTTCTGGGAAGACAGAACTTCCCACAACGGAACAGCAGGTGCATTACCTGCTGAGCAGCACATTTGACCTGGCAGGCAGCAGGGCCTAACTCAAAACACACAGCACTGAGGACATGTGGCAGCTCCCTAAGGAAAAAAGCCACAACACAGCATCTCCAAAGAACCCCTTGCAAGAGAAACCCCCAAACTGCCAGTGTTAGCTTGACACCTATGAAAGTCTTCCTCAGTCACCTGCGTGAATCACTTCTGCTGTAGCTAAAGCTGCTATTTCTGTCCCAGTTCAACGTGTATTCTGCACCACTGGGAAGGCACGGGGAGTGTGGCTGTGCTGTTCTGTTGACTGCACAGTGCTTATTATCCCAGCAGCTGTAAGTGCATTACAGGCACAATTGCACTCGGGTGAAGGTGGCTGCATCACTCAGCACAGCTTGTCGAAGGCACAGTTTGGAAGCAGATATAAAACACCTCACAAGAGCCTGTTGGTACTAAACCTACAAACTCAGGATGAAATATGCCAAATGCCCAACCTGAAAGTTCAGGGAATGCACACAGAATCATAGAATCAACCAGGTTGGAAAAGACCTCCAAGATCATCGAGTCCAACCCTACCGTGGTTACTAGACCATGGCACTAAGTGCCACATCCAGTCTCGTCTTGAAAACCTCCAGGGATGGTGAATCCACCACCTCCCTGGGCAGCACATTCCAATGCCTGATCACTCTCTCCATAAAAAATCTATTCCTAATATCCACTCTAAACGTCCCCTGGCAGAGCTTGAGTCTGTGCCCTCTTGTCCTCCTGCTGGTTGCCTGGGAGAAGGGACCAACCCCCACCTGACTCCAACCTCCTGTCAGGGAGTTGTAGAGGGTGAGAAGGTCTCCCCTGAGCCTCCTCTTCTCCAGGCTGAACACCCCCAGCTCCCTCAGCCTCTCCTCATGGCACTTGTGCTCAAGTCCCTTCACCGGCCCCGTTGCTCTTCTCTGGACCTGCTCCAGCACCTCAATGTCCCTCCTGAGCTGAGGGGCCCAGAGCTGAACACAGGATTCAAGGTGTGGCCTCATCAGCACCGAGTCCAGGGGCAGAATCACCTCCCTGGTCCTGCTGACCACACTGTTCCTGATCCAGGCCAGGATGCCATTGGCCTTCTTGGCCACAGAACCAAGAATTATTATGTACCACATACTGTTTGTCATATCTGGATGTTTTACAGAGCACTGGAGTTAGGGATGCAAGAAGTTCTCCTGAGCTCCTCTTAACACTCTTTGTCCTTCCACAGTTTGTGCCAATTTGTGTTCTTTCACAGAACATCCTCTGCTCAGTGCAGTCTTCAAGCTCAGGACATACAGACTGCCCAGGGAGGTGGAGTCACCATCCCTGGAGGTGCTCAACGAACAACTGGACATGGCACTCAGTGCTCTGCTCTAGTTGTCAAAGTGTGATCAGCCACAGGTTGGACCTGATGGTCTGGGAGGTCTTTTCCCATATAAATGATTCTATGTTTATCTTAGTTTGGTTTCTGAGTAATGCTGTTTTTCTTTCTACATGATTCTTCAGTTATTAAAAAAACTCTTTTGCTTTTCTCCCCCACCACAAAGACACTAATTTAACTATTATTATTACTCCACAACAGGTAAGCAAAGACACTCTTATGAAAGGTCTTCCTCTGCTTCCACCCACCACAGCCTCAGCCACCTGCTTACCAAAGCAGCTGCTACCTCCTCAGTGATGAGTTTGTATCAAAGTGCCACGAGAAGCATCCAAGACATTATACCTTTGGC